GTGGAGTGCCTGGTGGGTTTGAACCGCCAATCTTCTGGTTAGCAGTCACGTGCCTTAGGCACTATGCTACCAGAGCTCCCAGAGCATCACAGAGGTAACCAAAACAGCTGTGCATGAGGAGCATTGGCCAGGAATCAAGCCCAGGTCTCCCACATGGAAAGCAAAGGTTTTACCACTGAACCACCTAGGGCCCCATTACGTAATATTTGCTGTTATTAGTTGCCAGGGGCTATCACTTAACATTTACTATATAGAAAATAGGCATAAAACTTTGGAGGAGATTTTAATTTATTGTTTATATAGCATCATTTACTTTAATTTTTTTTAATAAATAGCATTGCATTAGGAAAAAAACAATTTGTTAAATGGAAACTGCAGTGTAGTAAATTACCTGGTATGGCTTTTCTAGCCAAAAGTCTTTATAAACTCCGTGGTGGAATTTGCCATGAGCAACTGAGTAGCTCCTGGTCGTTACAGTTACCCACCTGGGGTATTTCTGTTGGGAGCAGCACAAAGTAATTTTCTGGGAATTTCACTCTCTCTCAGGTGTATAGAATTCTGATGTGGGGATTGGTTAGTTTGCCATTCCGACAGGCTCGAAAGGAGCCCTCCTAGAAGCAGAAAAAAATCTCTCACTGCCAGCTGGGAGACCCAAGAGACACACATTGCTGAGAGAGAGACGTGAGAGACATGCACTGCTGAGAGAGCGCCTGAAAGGCATGCACTGCTGGGAGAGATGCTGAGAGACACTTACTGCTGGGAGAGAGACTGAGAGAGATGGTCAGCTGAGAGAGGGTGGGCTGAGAGAGACTGAGCGTGTTACTGGACTTGAATTGTAGCTTGTTGCTTTCCTAATAAACCCCATAATCCCTGAGTTCTCTGTGGCCACTGCGCCGAATTATTGAACCCAGAAGAGAGGTGATGGGTGCTGCGGGAGGAATGGTAGGCGACAGAATTGGTGAAAGGGCTGGAGGGAGACAGCATGTCTGTCCTCACAGGGATAGGCCTTGGGCTACTGATGGTGATTCTGTCTTCCTCTTGTGGGGTTATTGTGGTTGTTGTTGTTATGTGCCGTCAAGTCAGACCTGACTCATTGAGATCCCTCCTTGGGTTGCCGAGTCAGTATCACTACAGAAGTAGATTGCCAAACCTTCCTTCTGAGGTGTGGCTGGTAGGTTTGAACCATCAGCCTTCTAGTTAGCAGTCCAGTGCCTTAGGTACTATGCTACCAGAGCTTTTACAGGAGGTCAGAAAATGCAGCCTCCTTGCCCCTTTGGCAGGAATCTACTTTGCTGTGTACATTTTCACATAAAATACAATAAAATAATTATTTAAAAAAGAAAGAAAAATATAATCAATGTCATTGTGTTTCAAATGTGTAAGTTGTTACATTGGGGAATGTTTTCATGAGTGTGTGTTTACCACAGTTTTAAAAAGAGAGAAAATGAATATATAAACATATAAATGAATGAAAAATTGATTTAAAAAAAAAAACTCATGAAAATTGTGAAAACAAATTCAGTTTGGAAATACTAAATGGCCAAAAGTCAAAGGAGAATATATCCAAACTATTAATAAACAGTAAAGTGAAGATTTAAAAAAAAAAAAATGAGTTGCCATTCCTCACTCACTAATTTGGCACACTAGGAGTGTGAAAATATGAAGTATTGGCTAGGATGTAGAAAAAGAGAATGCACACAAGGCTGATTATACTATAATTTGTTAAAGCCAATTAACCAAGCAATTTGATAGCGCTGAAGAAATTTAAAGTCCTTATGCTTATAACTCAGTATTTTCTAGGTCTAGTATATAGTTCAGGAGCTCTGGTGGCATAATGCCTAAGCCATTTAACTGCTAACCAGAAGGCTGGTGGTTCAAACCCACCAGCCACTCCTGGGAAGGAAGATTGGACAACCTACTTCCGTAGGATACCCCCTTGGAAACCCAAGGAGGGGTCACTATGCTTACAGAAATTCTGGTAGAAGTACCCAAAGATGCTCATTGAAGCATTATTTGTAATAATGAAACACTGGAAAGAAAAACAGTGATCATCAACAGCAGAATGGATGGCAAAAATGTGTATCTAATAGGCGCTCTGGTAGCATAGTGGCTAAGGCACTTGACTGCTAACCAGAAGGCTGGCGATTCAAACCCACCAGCCACTCCTCGGAAGGTTGGGCATTCCTACTTCCATAGTGATACAGCCTCGGAAACCCAAGGAGGGGTCGCTATGAGTCGGGGCCGACTCAATGGCAAACAACAACAACAACAACATACTCTGAAAGAGTAAAGGTAGCAAGGAATGTGGGAGACACAAAAGAGACATTTATAAACGAAATATAGAGTGAAAAAAGCAAGCTGCAGAAAAGTAACTTTAGTTATTATTTTCAGAGGATATAATTTACGTTAAAAGTAACCAAAAACCGAATGAAACCCACTGCCACAGAGTACATTCTGACTCATAGAGACCCTTTAGGACAGAGTAGAACTGCCACCACAGCATTTCCAAAGCTTTTAAAGTAGCCGACTTTCTCATCTTTCTCCCTCAGTGATGCTGGCTGATGGGTTGAACCGCAGACGTGTGCATTAGCAGTAGAGAGTTTTAAACACTGTGCACTGGGCTTCTATACAGTGTACACCTAGAGCAAAATGACCCAGAGCCATTTCTCATAAAAGTCAGGCGTGGGACATTGGACAGAATTATTGTTATTCCTCCAGTATGGAGTAATGTTCCTTCATAATGTAAATTAAAAACAAAACGTGAAGTAAAATGCTTGTCAAGCACTTGTAAATATGAATACATACAAAAATATAGGTTGTTAGAATACACAAAAATATGAATGGTCAGTATTAGTGTTAATGATGGGGGCTAGAATAGGATCAAGTCTAGAGGCTAAAATAGAAATACATTGTATTGGTAATATTTAATTTCTACATTTGGAAGTACGAATAAAAACGAATAGTGTTAATTATTAATGTAAGGTATATCATGCTTCTAATATTGTTATTTAACTATATTCCTCAATATATCAGTTAAAAATAATATTACAAAGAATTTTTAACAACAAATGTGCAAAATGATCCCAGCTATCTATGAGTTTAGAAAATAAGCAAAGGAAATTCCCCCCACACACACCCAAGACTTGCTGTGTGAGCCCTGAAGAATTTAGGTGGGATTACAGTTGATTATTTTTTCTTCTTCAAGTCAATTTTCTGAATTCTACAGTGTCCACATTGTGGACAAAAGAGAAACAGAAAGAAAAAAAAAATCTCAAGAACCTAAGTCTGGAGAATAACCAGTCAGGAATAATTACATAGAGATTGGGTCAAGATGGCAGAGTAAACACTGGCGCCTTTCTTTCACCCAACCCCAAATCCCCTTAAATGACAGGAAAAGCAGAATTATGTATATAAAGAACAACTCCATAAGGGCAAGGGGAAAAAAAAAGGAAAGGGTGAATTCCTAGAAGATGGAAAGCAGATGAGGCAGCAGGCGCGAGAGAGTGGAGGTGGAGAAGGGGGTGGAGAGCCTGGGGGCCCCAAACTGGGGGAGGGGTGGACGGGATGGAGGATGGGCGGTAGTGGACTTCGCTGATCTAAGGTTTGGGGAAGGGGCGGGGCCAGAACCCAGGAGAGCCTCCCCGGCCCAGAACTCTGGAGCGGGTGGGGGCCATGGGGGCTCGCAGTGTTTAGCAGGAAGGGGAGGCCTCTCTCCTGGCAGGAAGCTGCGCTACGGAAAGAGGGAGGAGACTGCGGCGGGGCAGCGGCGGGTGGGAGCCCGATGTGGCAGAGGGGCAGCCGCCGCGGGCAGCCAGGCGAAGGACGCGCGAGCCCAGTGCTTTCCTTTTAGACGTGCTCCTCGCCTGCGGATACTCCACTCTCAAGTCTTGCAAGCATTCGGCTTGTCGCCACAGGATCACAGCTGAGGCAGCAGCGAGTTGTCCAATTTGGGCACGTGAGGCCCGCGATCGGGGGTCGGAGGGGAGGTGGGCGCTTGACTAGGGACCCGAGGGATGGTGGTTGGTGGGTGCAAGAATGGCAGATGAGGAAGTCTGGGAAGGTTGATTTAGGAATCGGAGGGCAGGGTTGACGACGAGCACCAGGCTGGTGTACAAGGGTGGCCAGAAAGGGAAATAGCTTTGTGGTGGGTGCCAAGCAGGCAAAAGGGGATGGCTGCAAAAGAGACATGAGAGAGAGGTAATCGTCATTGAGAGGCACAAGGATAGGCAGACAAGAAGGATGAAGAGCTGCGGCTGATGGGCGGGAGTAAAGGAGGTACACGCGTGGAAATAATGAGATGAGCTGGGGAATAACAAATTGTGAGCGCGTTGCTGGGGGCGCTAGGATGGTGACAGAGGGGCTGGCAACATGCAAAGGAAGCTGCTCCATCTTGTGGGGGCCTCAACCACCATGACCACCACAGCCACCTCCTCTCAAGCCCTCCCACACAGTATGAACAAGTCTGGAAGGGGGGCACTGCAGGCAGGCATCCAAGAGTGCCTTGATATCCAGCATTGCTGCTAGACTTAGGAATAACATGGGTGGAGGTGTACCAAGTACACAAGGACTTCCCTGTACAGCTATAAAATATAACTTGAAACACACATTGCACATTTCTCCCTAGCCTCTCTCCTCCCCTGCAGGTATGAAGACCCTTTACAAAAAGGCAGCTGTAAGGCAGCACACCAGAACAGCTGTAGGTCACCACACTGGATCTGCAAATATGAGGAAGAAAAAGACCTTCCAGAAGAAGCAGAGGGGCCGACCTTCCTCTCAGCCCCGCAGAAACATCGTGGGCTGCAGAATTTCACACGGATGGAAGGAAGGCGATGAGCCCATCACCCAGTGGAAAGGAACCGTTCTGGATCAGGTGCCTATAAATCCCTCTCTTTATCTGGTGAAATATGATGGAATTGACTGTGTCTATGGACTGGAACTTCACAGAGATGAAAGGATTTTAAAGCTTAAAATCCTTCCTGATAAGGTGCCATTTTCTCGAGTCAGAGATGTGCGCCTTGCAAACACTATAATTGGAAAAGCAGTGGAACATATGTTTGAGGGTGAGCATGGTTCTAAGGATGAATGGAGGGGGATGGTCTTAGCCCAAGCACCTATCATGAAAGCCTGGTTTTATATTACCTATGAGAAAGACCCTGTCTTGTACATGTACCAGCTTTTAGATGATTATAAAGAAGGTGACCTCCGTATCATGCCAGAGTCCAATGAGTCTCCTCCAGCAGAGAGGGAGCCAGAAGGAGTTGTAGATGGCCTGATAGGTAAACACGTGGAATATACCAAAGAAGATGGCTCCAAAAGGACAGGCAAGGTCATTCATCAAGTTAAAGCGAAACCCTCTGTGTATTTCATCAAGTTTGATGATGACTTCCATATCTATGTCTATGATTTGGTGAAAAAGTCCTAACTGTTACGGTAAAATTTTGCCACATTTGTGGAAACAAATGTATAATTTGTAGACATGCAAAAATATGTTGCTTTTTAGTGTAGTGAAAGCTTGAGGGTCCCTGTTAACTCTACATCTTTGCCAGCATAACTGCTATTTTGTTCTGAAAAATACAAATTTTATGTGGACATGACATGCCTTGTGTAAGGAATTTGTCTTCTTGAAAAGGTTGGGTGTGTTTGGGGAACGGGCGTGAAAGAAAGAAGCAACCGTACGTTCAGGCTGTGGATAAAGTTAAGCTAGTATCATAGTCATGTAAAAATGGAATAAGACTTAGCTGGCCTGGCCTAGAGGGAGGAGAAAGAACTAGAGATGAGATATGAGGGAGAGAGAAGAGGAGATGATTGTTTAGGAAGAATTGGGAAGAGGCCAGAAATGGAGATGCTCCCTGGAGAAAGGGAAAACCTAATGAGGAGGAGACATCTAACTGGGAAGGGGATGGAGAATGACAGAAGGAGGTAAAGTCTTGGGACTTAGAAGAAAATAGACAGTAGATTGAATAGAGAGTGTCACAACGAAGTGTGGATGGGGTCAGGAGCAAGAGGGAGAGAGACCAAGTTGGCAGGAATCTGGGGAGTGTCTAAAAGATGCACATAAGGAGAGTCTATGCCTGAATGGGAGGCCTGAAAGGGAGGAACACAGAGGGAAAAGGCATGCTAAAATGAAAGATCGGCAGATAGAGTGAGGACACAGGGAAAAGGGCATGGGGAGTGGGGTGCATGAGGTATGGGAGGTCCCAGAAAAAAGTTGGCATTTTGGCAGCATCCACATTGCCCTTCTTGGCTCTGTACAAAGAAAGGAACAATTGTCAAAGAAGCCAACTGGATTGGAAGTTCCCTAGAGAACCATTTTGACAGGAATGGCTCAGGGCACTTAAGCCAGAGCAAAGTTCATACGTAAAGCCTTTTCTTATTGCAGGGAGTCCCTGACACACCCTCTTCCTGCATTTTGCCTCTGCCAAGAAGAACCCCAGCCCTTAGCCTAAACACACTACCCTGTTACCCATATCTGCTGGGCTATAGGACACTTCCTCTCATTTCCCGGACAACTAGAAGAGGTGCAGAAAGCATTGGACCTGAAGGCCTTGGTTCATTTTCCCTACACTGGATAATCAATACTTGGCGGGGAATAGAATTGTGGGAGATGTGTCACTTTGCATTTAGGAAGTATTTTATCCAGAAAAAAACTAAGCACAAATACATCTCCCTCACTGCTCTTCCTCCTGCTGAATACACCTCTTTTCTAAAGAGGAGGGGCATCCGAAGATTGATCTTGATGTCTCTCCCAGGCTTAGGGAGTACTCTGAGGTTACATACATCCTTCTTTCAGCAGCAGCCTGAAACCACAGGTGGATCCACTCAGTACTCCACCAATGGAAAGCTCCTGCCCACAGAAGCACCATGTTGGATAGATCCTCCACAAAGCCAGTTACTTCTGGCCCCCTGGAAGGCACCTCCTAGCCAGTCTTGCCCACTCCAACCATATGGGATTCTGATGGAAGTTTTACAGCTTGTTTTTGCTAGGTGAGGTATATACCTTGGGACAGTTGGGCTGTAAGTTGTGACTGTAACTAACCTCTTCTGGTGCATAGTGCCATATAGAAGGGTGAGTGGTGAGCAGAGGGGGCAGAAACCCCAAAAAAGTTCCTCAGAACTACAGTGTACCAACGCATGAATCTGCATCTTTCTCTTCTCCTCCTTATGCTGTTATTCTGCTGGAGTTCTTAACAAAAACCCTTCTCTTGGTTTCCCACCCCTCACTAAACTATACTCCTACCCCTAACAAAGAGTGCTGGCTATCCCACTGCCCAGGCTTCCCTAATTATACACATAGTAGGGGTACACAGGGAGCTTCCTGATATTTATTTTTTTAAAAAAAAAAAACCCACTGTCATCAAGTTGATTGCAACTCATAGTGACCCCCGATTGGGTTTCCAAGGCTGCAGATCTTTACAGAAGTGCATCCCTTCATCTTGCTCCCCCAAAGCAGCTGGTGGATCTGAACTACTGACCTTCTGGTTGGCATCCAAAAGCCACTACACCACCAGAGCTCCTTAGCTCCTTATTAAAGAAAAAACAAACTTACGCCGTCAAGTTGATCCCGACTCATAGCAACCCCTCCTTGGGTTTCCGAGGCAGTATC